TGAATTAAGTATGTGGCAAAAGTGCGTTGACCTGGTGTGAACTTTTGTCTCTCCTGCATCCTCGCATTATCATACAGAGCAGACAGAGAGCGTGTACTGGGTAGTAAAAGTCTCCTCTACTCACTGACAGTCTCTGCTCCTCCCGCACCGATTTTCTCTCTCCCGCTGAGCTCCCCGTGTGTAATCTGCAGACTGCACACGTATACTCTGCTTACCTGAGTGGGTGCACAATCGTGTGCGTGTGTCGAAAAGGATGATGGAACGCGTGAATATGTGAAGCATGTGATGGGGGTCTGTGTGTGCCTTGACTTTAAGAGCATGTCTTTCTACATGCGCGCACGTGTGAGTCCATGATGTCTGGCCAACATGCCAGCCGTGTGTGTGTCTGTCTGTGTGCATGTGTGTGTGTGTGTGAGTGTGTGTGCGTGTCTGCAGCTGACAGCAATCACCTGAACTGGAATGACCCAGACTTACGTAACCTTCCCAGTGATCATAGCTGGTATAAAACAAGGCTGCCTCTTCCCTACCCTCCTGTTCTGGCCTTTCTTTTACAAATGCATCAAACCACAAGCAAGCCACTTCAATAGAGGGTAGATATCCCCTAAACGTCATCATACAACTTGTAATAGCAATACATTGAACACTTTCTGACAACATAGCAAACATTGTAATTCAAATATATTATTACTTTCGTACACTGGCTTTTGACACTACTTACCACCACATGTTATTTAATGTCTGCATTACCTGGCTAGTTTGTGTACCGTACAAGACACGGCTAATAAGTTCCAGAGCACTGCAATAGCGAGTGCACTGTCAAGTGGCTGTCGATGTGCTCTTCTGTTGGCAGTTTAGAAAAGCACGGAAAACTGCACTGATACTACCATTCTACAATTGTGGAAATGACATTACACATTACATCATTGCATCATGTTATTTTCTTACTTTGAAAGATTGAATTTGACAGTTTCATCCAAAAAAAAAAAAGAAAAAAGATGTCAGACTCAAAGTAAAAGAAATTTCCTCGGTCAAACACAGATGAAAACGTTTTATTGGCTAACCTTGTCTTTGGTCTACCCGAAAGGAAAAAAAAAATCATACATCTGCCACATGTATAACACTTTCTATTTAACTTTCTGTCAGACCATCTTGTCACGGCCATCGGGCCAAAGTCAAAAGAAAAAAATCCACACGGGATCACCCACCATAAACAAACAGCAAGGAGAGTCTGATTACAACGGGCGCTTCTTTACATATCTCTAACTCTCCTCTAAGCAGCATCTTCTATAAATGTCATGCTAACATAAAAACATAATGTGCATTAGTTATGTGGCAATGACTTCAATGGAAAGCATCCCTCTCTCCAAGGGTTATGTTCCTCGCTTAAATTCCCTGCGCCAATCTCACGGACGAATGCCAGAGCGAATGAAAGTAAATCCGCCAAAAGTGTGCGGCTGTAATGATGCTCGTAGAATGCAGCCTCACACGCAAATCAGTGAGGTGTAATTATGGGATCCCAAAACATTCTGGCACCCAAGTACAATTGGAGAAAAGGGAAGTCATAAGCTGCTCTGACAGAAAGCCTCAAAGGCCTCACTCGATATGCTCCATCCTCTCTCGCTTAATAGGAAACCGATTGAGTCAGTCCCGCAATGGAGGGAAGAAGGTGCGCCAAGTCAACCTGGCTTGTGTCACCAATTCTGGCACGCATCTATCTTCACACGGGGAACAGCGCACTGAATATTATAGACTGGGAACAATCGGTGAAAGCATACGAAAAGGACGAGTGTGTCAGAGGGAGACAGGTGGAATGACGAGGAGAAAACACTCCATTTCAACGTTTGAAATCAGTTGGTAGTTGGTGGAGGGCTTTGTCAGAGAGACCACATAAAAATAAAACGTATTTACCTCTCCCACGCACATTAAACAATTTTTAGCTTGCTAAATACAATTTGAGAACACACAAAAAATAGCAAGATCAAACCGTATAGAAAATACCGTACATATTGGGGATAGGTGGTATCGGGCCAGTATCGGCCTTTTTTCAACGTATCGGGTTCTCGCAACGACGGCCGATACCAGTCACCGAAACCAAGCCAGAGAGACCACATAAAAATAAAAATAAACTTATTTACCTCTCCAACACACATTAAACAATTTTAAGCTTACTAAATACAATTTGAGAACACACAAAAAATAGCAAGATCAAACCGTATAGAAAATACCGTACATATTGGGGATAGGTGGTATCGGGCCAGTATCGGCCTTTTTTCAACGTATCGGGTTCTCGCAACGACGGCCGATACCAGTCACCGAAACCAAGGTGCTTACTTGTGGTTATTTTTCTATCAGGAACGAAATAGCACGCGTAGCAGACAGAACGTCTTACTGAGTGAACTGCTGTATCCATGTCAATCCTCTCTTATGCCCATTAAGATGCAATTTCCGCGAAGTAAATGGATGTTTATAAGGCTTATATTAATGTTTTGAGTGCAATTTTAGTTAGCCGCGACCAACATTATATCTTCATTTGCTAAATCAATTTGGGTGGCACGATGATTATCTCCATTACCTTCTTTCATTGCCTGAGAATTATGGAATGTGGTTATTATTCGGTGCATTAATGAAGTCATTTTTTCCTGTTGAATGCAGTACAGGCAACATATCCACTTTGACTTACTCATGTGTATTATACAGAGAGATATACTTACCTTTTTGTGCTTATATAGCCCTTTATTTTGTAATATGAAAGGTACTTTTCCTCTGGATGGCTGTACTTTTATTTGATCTGTAATCAATACCAGATTTGACAAAAAAAAAAAAAAATCTGTATTCATAAATATCGGCTGATATGAAATACGGACTGACATGTGACAACGTTTTCATCCATATCACCCAGCCCTATTTTCCAACTTCAGAGTATCATGTATGTATCAAAAGTACTCGGTATCAGTGAGTCCCCAACAGTTGTGTACATGTAGCCCTATCAGTTTTGAGAAAAAAAAAGAGGTATTGAACATCCAGTACGTATTGTCGTGTCTGTGTACATGCAGGCAACTTTTAAGTGGCGGGTGGCGTGTGACGTTGCCGAGTCTGCATGTGAGAGTTTTGGGTGTGAGTGCGAGCTGTGGTTGACAGCAGCTCCTGTGTGAGTAAGCTCAGCGTCCGTCCTCTGCGCACAAGGTCAGGGTATCAAGAAAATCATCATCAGATCTTTTCTTTTCACCGCCATGCATATTTTGAGTGAATCGGAATTCATTCTAATTTTTCTGCATCAACCGTGCCCCAAATTGCCTCCAAAAAGACATCTTTTTGATGCACTAAAATGAAATCAGTGGTGGATTACTCACTCGCTTCCACATTCTTGCTGCGGGGAATGTTTCCCACATGATAAAATACAGTAACTAAAGTACGTTGTTAAAAGAACAAAAAAGATACAAAAAAGATCTCCATGTTCAGTGGAGCTCCACTGAATTGTCTCTCAACTCTCCAAAGCAACAGCTTGTTTTTGGCCAAATTTGAACCCGCCATCAAATCCAGAAGTCAATAAGCCGTCATTTAAAAAGTCCTCATCTCATCCGAGTATAGATCTTTACACTTTCAATTGACTGATACAAATAACTTGCACACGAAGCGAGGCCTGCAGCTGCAACCTTGAAAAACAAACTGGAGCGTCCGCAATGTGAAAATCAAGCATGAAATAATTGGTGTCATCTTCCTTTTGTTCACCTTCTCAGGAGCTAATTGCTCCAAAAGTGGAGGTCCCGGCTGCTGCACAACGTCTATGCCGATAAGAAACCGTGGCACCATAGACTGCAAATTCCGAACTTTTTGTCAGCCTTAATGACCTCCAAAGTTTTCAGTGTGAGCGTTGTTTGGTCATACTGTGACAAGCAGGTTGCAGGGTTGATGTTAATGAGCTACCTAATTAGCCTGCTATCTTGTGTAATTGGGATTCAAGAATGTTAGTCACTTCTGTGATAGTGAAAGAGCAACAAGAACACTCGGGTCCTGCCAACGTCCGTCAACATCTACCAAATCTATGTAAACAACTACGATGTTAAAAGTTCCGAAATGAAGAGAAGAATTTCGTCTGAAATTATCCGGCCATCCAATTTTGACAGCACTTAGTCCGTTCAGACGCACAGCACGGTGGGTGACTTTACTGCTCGTCAGGGTGGTTATAAACGGGGGGTTGGGGCACTAAAAAAAGAAGTGGTCCAACTTTAGCTAGCTGCATAAAATTCAGCTGCAGGTATGTGAACCACTATACTGTATTACCAGTGGCTTTCTGGATTCAAAATGTAATACAATCCAACTTAAACTCAACAAATTCTAACATGATCGGATGAGGTCTGGCAGAAATACATTAATGCGATTTTTTTTTTTTTCTCTATGCTAAACTTGAATAAATCAGATCAGATCCCTCCTGTGCGGCGTTCCTATGTTCTCCCTGTGCTTGCATGGAATTTATTTTTCTAGGTACTCGCGTTTCCTCCCATCTTCCAAAAACCTTCCATGCATCCATTTTCTCTTCCGCTTGTGCTCATTAAAAATTAGGGTCACAGCCGAGTTGGAGTCTATCCTACCTGACTTTGAGCAAGGGGCGGTGTACACCATTGTAGAGCTCCAAAAACATGCACACAAGGTGAATTGGAAACTGTAAATTGCCCGTAAGTGTCAATGTGCGTGTGACTGTTTCTTTAGATGTGCTTTGATTGGCCACCGGACCAGAGTTCTGCCTGTCGCCCAAAGTCATCTGAGATGCAGCTCACCCAAGTGCTATATAAATAGGTGGATGGAATCAAAGCCGCGTGAAACTTGATGTGGCATCGCGGCTTTTGATGCTGGCTAACAAAGACATTTTATGTTTGATTTGAATTTGACAGCGACGCCCATGATAAACTTGAGATTGTTGACCAAATGAAGAGAGAATCTCTCCCTTCTTCCCGCTTTCCGAACAAAATGAGCAAAGACGGAGCCGTTGTGTTGCTGCTTACCTTCCAGCCACTGCCTGCCTCTCTGTAATAAGGGAAGTTGTCACAGATCCACTGGTAGATCTCACTGAGAGTCATGCGTTTGCGAGGCGAGCCATTGATGGCGAAGGTGATGAGGCTTGCGTAGCTGTATGGAGGTTTACCGTCTCTTTGTTGACTATTTTCCTCCTGGTCCAAAGCTGCTCCAGGGTCCAGCTGGGTGATTTTCTTTCCGGGCCCGTGATGTCCACGTTGGAGACCAGGATGGTGATTGTGGTGGTGGTGATGTCCATGATAGTGACCGTGGTAAAGTCCCCCGACATCTCTGTCGGTCTTCTGAATGGCCGCCCTGATGCCGAGCTGCGGAAGCCAATCCATTGAGGTCAGGCTACTTTCCAGTTCAGAGGTCATGGTGTTGGGAGAACCGGATCGAAAATAAGGTGGACAGCTTCGCGACCTTGCTGTATGGGCACTCTCCTGATGGACTCAGTGAATAGTTGAGGTGCTGCAACCTTGGATCACATCTGCATGACAAGAATAGAAAACAGTACTGCATGTTATACACATCATGTTAAAGGCAGCCATATTTAAGGCTCGTGTTATTCCTTCTAGTACAAAAAAGAGAACAGGGTATCACAAATAGACCTAGTGGGCCATGTGGACTGTCACTATTAACTGGCTCCTCAGATGCAACTTCATGTGACCACCGTGGCCTGCCTTTGAATCATGGCGCAGATGCAGACAGACTTGATGTAAGAATGAAGACGGCGATATTGTAATCAAACGCAGAAGCTTCAGTTTCCCTGCCGCTTTTTTTCCTAGTCAAATGTGTTTAATTAATTCATGTCTGTAATGAACATCCCATGGACTTGCAGGTTTCGAGCAAATCCCTTTAACACGAACCAGTGTTTTCTTTATTTAATTATTCATCTGCCAAACCTTCTCTCAGCTCAACTCAACTGTATTTATAGAGCACTTTAAAACAACCATCGCTGTATACAAAGTGCTGTACATGGAGCAAATATTAGACATACAACAATAAAACAATAAATTAATAACGACAACAGTAGAAAGGACAAAAGAGTCAAACTAAGATCGAGTCTGAGTCATGCCGAGTCAAATGTCAAAGAACACAAATGAGTTTTGAGATGAGTTTTAAAGATGGGCTGCGAGGGGGCTTGCCGAATGTTCAGTGGGAGGTCATTCCAAAGAGGGACCAGCAACGGAAAAAGCTCGATCCCGTCTGAGCATCTTGGTATCTCTAAGCATGTCTGGTCCGCAGACCTGAGGCAGGGTGGGGGCGGAGGAGCTCAGAGAGGTAAGGTGGAACAAGGCCATTTAAAGATTTGAAAACGAATAATAAGATGTTAAAAAGAACTCTAAAATGTATAGGTAGCCAGTGAAGGGATGCCAGAGCAGGAAGTTTTGTGCTCCCTCTTACGAGTACCAGTCAAGCGGCGAGCAGCAGCATTCTGGACCAACTGGAGAAGCTTAATGGAGGATTGGCTGACTCCAAAGTAAAATGCACAATCGCAGGGCACACAGAGACAAACAACCATGCGCGCTCATACTCACACCTCGGGACAATTTTGAGTGTTCAATCAGCCCGCCATGCATGTTTTTGGAATGTGGGAGGAAACCGGGAAACCCACGCAGGCCCGGGGAGAACATGCAAACTCCACACAGGGAGGCCAGAGCTGGGATTGAACGCGGCTCTGCACTGTGAGGTCGACGCGCTAACCACTGGCCCACCGGGCCGCCTGACTTTTCCATCAACAAAAAAAATCAAATAAAATAAATAAGGCAAGATGTAATCGGAACTATCCGCCAATCGGTCTTACTATTTGCATCTTCCTCAGGACCAAAACATCTGGGGAAGTCCCCAAAGTGAAAAGCAGACTCCTTCATTTAGTCCCTGCAACGTACAAAGAGAGAACCACACAAGACGGTGAGCTCGCTCCGCCAGCCAGCCAACCTTCATGAGATATTAATATCGTGCAAATGCTCAAGTGGCCTCGGCATCTGTCCAACCTGATTTCAACTCTTCTCTCTTTCTCTCTGTGTGTTCTGTCAATCTGGATTGCCTCTCACTCACGTTGCCTCCAAATTGGAAATGGCAATTGGATCTGTGGAATGACTAAAATCTGGGGAATTGTTCTCACAAGTACCTGCCAAATGAGAGAGGGGGAGACAAAGGGGGAGGAAGTCCAAGCTTCTGGAGGAATTGAGACGCTCGTCTCCTTTACCATATGTAAACCTCACCAACGTCCCCCACTTGTTTGACGTGTTTCATTCTCAAAGCAAATATATGCTGACCACCATGATTCTGATCCGTACCCCCCCCCCACACACACACACAAAGAAACACTGGAAGAATCACTAATTTGAGGCATATTTTTTAAAACAGTTACAATTCTTTGCACTAATGACTGGAGTGAAAATATGGTGCAACTGTTACTCATCGCTGGAAATCAAAACGATAATGGTTTGGTTTTCATGGCAAGGTGTGAAAAAAAAAAAATGTCCAAAGGCCCTTCAAAAGTATAAGAATTCAGGTTTTGGCAGTAAAAAAATCCACCCATCCATTCTGTGATCTGATTTATCCTCACATGGGTCGCGGGGCATGCTGGAGCTTATCCAGCTGTCTTCGGGCAGTAGGCAGGGGACACCCTGAACCGGTTGCCGGCCAATCGCAGGGCACACAGAGACGAACAACCATCCGCTCTTACACTCACACTTTAAAATTTAGAGTGTTCAATGAGCCTGCCATGCATGTTTTGGGAATGCGGGAGGAAACCGGAGTATCCAGAGAAAACACACGCAGGCACGGGGAGAACATGCGAAATCCACGCCGGAAGCCCGGAGCTGGAATCGAACCCGCTACCTCTGCACTGTGAGGTCGACGCACGAACCACTGGACCACCGGGCCGCCCACAAGGGTGGCGGTGCGTGCTGGAAGGCAGTAAAAAATTAAATGAAAAAGCACTCCCAAAATAAATATACCAAACAAAAGTGATGACAGTTGCTGCGAATGTTGTTCCCTAAAAACTTGATGGGGTGTGTACTGGGTGACAATTACGGGACTTGTCCAAAGACAAAGACCCCTTCTGGTTATCACACGCCTAAACTGCATTGGAACATTCACTATTAACATTGTAACGGATTCTACAATGATGCAGCAAAATGCGACACTCCCGTTGTTGCACTGCCGCCTACAAATCGCACAATGAAATTCTAAGCCTGATCAGGACATACGGGTGAGAACCGTACCATGGCATACTGACCAGAACTGCACCAAATTATGGAAAATTTGCTTTAGACTGACACCACACATTCCCAACACTTTGATAGATACTTTTGCTCCCAAACGAGTGGGCCAGCATAGAACGCTTACTGTAATTAACAGTTAAGCCTCCGAAGGATACCAACCTGTACTGAACCTTCATTTTGCATCCCACGCAGTAACCTTCATGTGTCCTTGCACACAACAAAAAGCCCATTGGCCCACGCGTTTTCCATTCGTACTCCCTGAATATGATCAAGGTTGGATAATTTAGACAGAACCTCCCAAGGGAGAGAAATACAAACCACGTGTCTCTTTCAATCAATGCCCCTTGAGAGGCAATCTACCAGGAGGAGGAAGAAGGGGAAATACTCGGTTCCGGCAAAAATCTTGTTAATTTGTTCACACAAATAAATAAATAAATAAATAAATAACCATTTTTAAGAAACACAAACATTTGGCAGCCATCTCAGTGAGATAAATCCATGCAGGGGACCCTGGCATGGAAATAGACCACATAAGAAATACCCGATAAGGCCACCTGCACAACAACAGCCCCCAGCTCAGCCTCAAGGTCCAGATAGAGATATCATCCTGGGAAGTCATCTTAATTGATGAACCTGTGTCGCTGGAGGAAAGGTAAAATTGCTACCAGTGGTGATAATATGTACTGTTGGTGGGCGGAGGGTGGGGTGGGGTTTGGGGGGGAGGGGGGTAGTGACAGAACAACAAATACTTATTCTCTCCTCATTAAAAGGAGACTCGAGCTGCAAATCGGTCAGCCACAAGCTGCAAACCTGCTGTGCCGCGTTGGTTGTCATCAGGAAGTTTGTTGGGGGCAGGAACCGTCCGTAGGGCGGCACGGTGTGGCTTCACACGGCATGGCTAACGAGTCGTCGCGTTGATGAGTAATAGCAGAAAGTGGATGAAGGAGAGCGGGGAGCATGACTTGGCTTCTAGGGTGAGCGAGACGTAACCAATTACCTAGTCAACGCGTCCCACTGCGACTGGGCTGACCTCAACGTGGTGCCTTTTTTTTTTCTGCTGTGTCTCACAACAGCCTCCGAGGCTGAGGGGAGAAGAATTATCAGTGCACAGACATCAGCATCCAGTTCACCTCCGCGAAGACCTCGTGACTGCCTTGTTCTCTACGGCGTGTAAAGATGCAAAAGGTTTGTAATTTTGGGAGAGGAAAAAACAAAACTTCAGTTGGCATTTTATTCACACACAATGTCACGAGCATAATTGAACGACTTCTGCACTCCCTGCCTTCTGTACACAAACATGCACCTCTAGTTCAGATGCCAGTTTTTTGGTCAGACTGAAAAAAATGAAACCGAAATAAATGACTTTAAAACATTTTCCACCGTGTCATGTGACCTTCTCATAACTGAGGACAAGACAGTGTTAACCAATCACATTCAAACTCATGTTAAATGGGACTCCGCATACAACTAACACCATTTATTGTGCCTCTTAGTTGCCCCAAATAAAGTTCTGATGTTCTAGTAGGCTTTTCCCCACTTTTTTTTCTTCATCAATGCCTGAAGGTTTTGCGCTAACACTGACCGGTATTTGGAACTGTTTACAATTCTCTTCAACTTGACTAAATTACTGCACCTCAACTTTTGAGATCCGCATAATCAATGTTCTCAAATTACATTCCAATCGATCTTATTTTCAATTTAGCTTTGCTTCTAGACATGAAAATACAGTTTGCATTTAAAAAATAAAAAAAAACTTTCACTCGTCATATTCTTAGTTTAATAAAACCCTGGCTTCAGGTCAATGGGATTTAAAAAAAAAGTGCTTCTTACCAATGTGCTTCATCTTTCTTGTGTTTGTACTCTTTTAAATCAGACTCGCATCGGTGTGAATTTGGAATATTTTAAAACTATATTGTAGCACTATATAGTTGAGATAAGACAACGGGCAGAACAATGACGAAGAGATGTTTTATCCAGAAATAATTCAAACAAATTAGTTATTTCAGAATTTGCATTATCAGTACCCAAGAAGGAGCGGTCACTTTCAAAAAGGTTGGTGAGCTGCGATATTGATCAGTTAAAGTGTGTGTACGATGTTGTTGAATTCCTCTGTTGTGATGCTGTTGCTCGCTTTACTGTAGCTCCTTTATTGTGTGTCATTATGGCGTATGCCCTTCAGTCTCCTCTTCAGCGGGTAAAATGCGTCGGGTTTGAGTTTGGAGATCGACTTGGCCAGTTGAAAAGCCCCTGATTC